TATATATATGTGTGTTTATGTATATATATATATCTATGAATATATATGTATGAATATGAATGTATTTATATGTGTATATGTATATATGTTTAAATGGATGTTTATATATATATATATATATGTTAGCATATACGTGTATATATTTTTTAATTTATTTTTATTTTATTTTTTTGTATGTTTATGTATATATATGTGTTTGTATTTGTATAAGTGTATACGTATGTATATATTTTTATTTTTTATTTTATATAAATCTGGTAACAAAATAGAATATAAATATTAAAAAATATAAATAAACTTATATATGTATTTCTGTATATATGTGTATATATATTGTATTTACATTATGTATATATATGCATATATAAATATGTTTGTATATATGTATATATGTATATACATATATTTGTATATATGCATGTATGTATAAATATTTGTATGCTGTGTATACATTTCTATTTTTTTTCTTTTTATTTTTTATTATATATGTAGATATATATGTAGATATATTTATATGTATATATATATGCATGTATATATAGATGCCCAATTTTGAAATACATAATAGTTAGATATGACCAAAATGAGGAAGAAATTTAAATATGATTAAGATATTTTATAGGTGAGAGAATTTTCAATAGGGCTAAATTATTATTATTATTTATGTATATCTATATTTATAAGAAATTTTAAATAAATTTAAAATATATAATTTTTAAAATTAGATGAAATAATTTAAAATTTGTAATAAAAATATGTTTTAAATTTTTATTATTTTTAAAGAAAAATAATATTTTTTTGTTTTACTGCAATAATATTTTTTTATAAGATAAGAAATATAAATAATTTTATTCTAAAAAAATAAAAATACAAATTTTACATATGATGAAATAATATAAATTAAAAACACCAATAATTCTTTGAAGGTGACTAAAATTTAAAAAAAAAGTATTATATATAAAGAGGACACTAAAAGACTAATGGAGAGAGTGTTAAACATATTGGTCTCACATCTAAACTACATTTATATAAGATTTTATATATATGACCCAAGAAAAAAAATTAGTATATTCTCTTATTTTTATCTTACTATACATATAAAATAATTTTATTATATAATAATATGGTTATAATTATATTCTTTAATATATATAAAATGAATTAATAATATAATTAGTTTTGTATTACATATATATATCAATTTTTCCTACATTCATAATTCATAAAAAAATAAACAAACAATTTATATTATTAAATAAATTTATACACATTTTTATTAAAAATGATAAAATTATAATAAATTACAAAATAAGTTAGGGGGCAATGACAAAAAAAACATGAACTTTGTGTATTTGTCAAATAAATACACAAACTTACATTTTGGTAATAAAATATACAAACTTTTATATTTTTAGCGTAAATTTTCACAAACAGTAATAACGTCAAAAAAATAACAAAACTATCAATACGTCATGTACTATTATATATAAATATCATATCATCTGTTTAATAAAACCGTATCATTAATTATATTTAATAAATTTATTATTAATTTTGTTTAGTAATTATGTTTTTTGATATTCAAAACATAATACATATGGAAAGCGGAACACTTGAAATACAAATATATTATGTTTTGAATATCAAAAAACAAAATCACTAAACAAAGTTTATAATAAATTCACTAATCATATATGTGACACTCGAAACCCGTATCCCACAGTACGAGTTGTGTCACATGGACAACTAAAATAAAAACACAATTCCAGAAATACGCGGAAATTTAAAATTTTTCTTTTCAGAGTTAGCGGAAGAAAAATATTCATATATATATGATACATTATTCCAGAGATAATTATACATAGTGAGTGGTAGCGAATTCATTATTACAAACTTTAAAAGTCTACTACCGATATAATATGAAACCGTTTTCCCAAAAACATAAGCGTATCCTAAATATATAATTATACATGATCAGTCGACAGGTCACCCAAGTCTCCGATGTCCGCTCCGTGACTACTGCTGTTCACGACCTGAAACGTTGCGTAACAACGTCCTAAGCTAATTGCTTAGAGAGTGAACTCGGGCTAACACAGAGTTTTATTCTAATGGAACCAGGGAAAGCAAATACATATGAACCCGAATTTCGATATATATATATACTAATATTCTAATGAACAGGAATCGAAAACATGGAATCAATGATAAACATATCAGCAATCACAATTAAGTTCGTACGACAAGTCGCATGACAGAGTCCGTCAAATCGTCTCTACGCGCACGCGCACCATGCGTAGGTAATGTACTCCCCATGTGCATAACACAACCATCTCTCTCCTCGAAATTCATCTACTCCGCAACCACTCGGATTCGACATAAATATATTTTTCTCTGCTCGAACACATCACCCCACCCTAGCATCAATGTCACCTCTCGATACTAGGCATGTCACCCTACTCCGGCATTGATGTCACCTCTCAATACCGGAGCTCACCAGACGTCGGCTACAACCGACGCCATCGACTATAACGGGAGAGCCAATCGCTGCAACTCCCCCTCGCCGACCATCCACCGCGGAAATACTTGTCAGGTTCGTGCCCGAACCTGGCAGAGTAAGTCCGTACCACCTCCTCGGGAGACCCCAATCTACCCGAATCTCAAGTATGTGTAATGCCTCATTCCTCGGGATACTCATTTCCCGGGATCCGCTCTGTCGCTAACGGAAACGTTGGCGCGTTCAGAGAACCGTATGTTCCTCGTCACGCAATAGTACCGACTACAATCGGCTATCTACGCAAGTCATCGGGGTGCCCATAACCGTCCTATCGTTCACACGTTGGCGCGATTAGGTTATCGCCTCATTCACAATCATATCCCATATGGGTGACATTTGACCCGAATCGGATGGCCCATGGATGGGACGCAATCTCGCAAACATCGTGCAATCATTCACAAACGTCCGTTTCTACAATCACACGCTAAACGTTAATCCGAAACCTTTCGAATTAACGTTAACATCATGCCAACTACCCTAACCACACACATTTATATAGTTTATTTACTATACATTCATCTCCGCTTGCGTAGTCTTTTATATTTATTTATATATTTTCTTTGAGTCTTTCCATTTATATTACCGAATTGTACCTCCGGTATGACCTATCTGGTCCCGGTCCGCCCGGATAACCAGTTCGGTTTATTCCGTGGTTTTTAACTTCACTTGTTATTCATTTTGGGTCCAGACTACGTGGGGTCTAGTCTGGCCCGTATTTTCGGTTTATTTTATATTTCACTTTTTTACTATATTGAGCCGGGGTAATATTAGGTTCGTCTAGTTTAGTTTTTTATTTTATCACATGGTGAATTTTTAAGGTTCCTCGAACGGTCCGGGGTAATATTAGGTTCGTCTATATATATATATATATAACGACTTTAATTATATAATTTTAGGCCGATATTTTAAAATCTTTTACAATAATTTTGAAATAGAGGAAACACGAATTTTTTTAAAGTTACAAAAAATATTCAATATCACACGAGTATATTTTGTTATAATAACAACTATATTTTGTTATAGAGAAAATAATCTAATAGTGTTAGTTCTTCTATCGAATATTCAAAATCTAAATTGATTATGAATTGTTTTAGAAAAAGTATATTAAAAAAGATATTTGAAAAAAATACATTAAACTTAGAAATAATTTTTTTAATATAATTTTTTCTAAAACAATTCATAATCAATTTAAAAATTAAAAGATACTCATACTTTATTAACAAAAACCCTAAAAATTTCTGAACTTGTAATTTGGAGTAATATTAATTCCTAAACTTGTAGATGTGCCTATTAATTCCCAAACTTGCAAAATTTAACACATTAAATCCTGAACTTGTTAAACGGTTCCATAATCATTCATAGCGTTATTTGGTCAAAAAAAGAGTTGACTGATCCAACGTAGCGCGTGACGTGGCGAGCCAACTCAGAAAATTACTGTCATGTCACGCGCCACGTCGGATCGGTTAACTCGTTTTTTTGACCAAATAACGGTATGGACGATTATGGAACCGTTTAACAAGTTCAGGATTTAACGTATTCAATTTTGTAAGTTTAGAAATTAATAGGCACCTCTACAAGTTTAGAAATTAATATTACTTCAAATTATAAGTTTAGAAATTTTTAGAATTTTTTCTCTAAATATAAATATTAAAAAGCACAATAAAAATTATGATCATATCATATGGAAAACAAGATAAACTCACCCAAGAAATCGTGGGTGAATATTGTAAAATATGGTTGGCTATTACCTGACTCAAAACTCTCATGGTCTGAGCCTCTGAGCAACAGATGGGAGAGGAAGTATGTAATTTAATGGAAAAATTTTAAAAAATATCTAAACTTATTAATTTTTACAAAATAAAACTTAAACTTTATTTTTTATCAAATAAAACCACAACTTGATTTTTAAGTTATAATAAACATAAATTTCATAATATTTATCATTTTTAAACTTCAATCACGTAACAATATCGTGACATATAGATGATAACTTATCAAATATGGTCAAAGTGTTGATTTGTCATATAGAATATAACTTTAAAAATGACAATTCATACAAAAAAAACTTTAAAAATGACAACGATTATAAAATTCGGATTTATTTTCGATTGAAAAATGAAATTAAAATTTTACTTATTAAAAATAAAATTTAGATTTTATTTTATAAAAATTGAAAAGTTCACATATTTTTTTTAAAAATTTTCCTAATTTAATCATAGCAAAACAACAAGATGAGCTAAAGTTTATCTTCACCTCCTTTGTTTTCCGTCCACAATCATAACAATAGTGAGACTTTAACTTTTTTTTTCCCCGTGAAAACATAAGTATTCGAATAAAGAAAACCTTAAATTTCTAGGACTTAACTGCAATTATTTATTTTATTCTTTTTTTTTTTAATTTAATCAATAGGCAATTCAAGTTTTAAACATTGAGGACCCAAGCCAATGCAAAGGAACTGAAAAACACTTGAATGAGCAGCGGCCATACCGTTTACGTCGATTAATCTCTGGAGATTTTCTCTGTTAGGATCAATTGTTAATCATCTCTACAATTTCAGAGAGAGAGAGAGAGAGGAAACGAGAGGTGGTGTGGCCGATTAAGGAGGGATTGTGAAGGTTCTAGGGTTTCCCACTCCGATCGGCGGATAAAGTGCAAGGTGATTGTTTCCGGCATGATTGCGATGTTTCCTCTGGTGCCTCGTCATTGCTGCTGCTTCTTCGTCTTGAACTTGCGGTTTTTAGGGTTTTGAACTTGGGTGTGGTCAATTGGACTGCGTTTTTTTTTTCCGTTCGTCGGATCTTTTTTTTTTATCTATTCGCTTTCCCGTAAAATGGGACTTCCTGCAATCTTCTTTTTTCGGCGGGGTAACTTGTTTCCCGTTGAATGAACTTTTGCCCACTATGTAGATGTTTAAGCCTTGTGTTGTCTTTCACGGGCAGGAGATTTTTTCTCGTTACCCAAACAGGAATGCTGGAAAATTTCATGTTTTCCAATCGCTGTCTCTTATTGATTTTTACCGCAATTTCCTTGAATCGCCTCGACCTTGATTCTCTACTACTGTGCCTGTTGTTTCTTGCCTTTGAAATTTCTTGGTTCAATGCATGTGCTGCTTTTGGGTGTTCTGCAAGAGTTCACGTCTTTGTTCTTCTTTAAGGATCTGCATAAGATAGTTTCCTTGTGTCCATAGCCTCAATTTTGCATTCTTGCCCGGGTTGGCATCCTTGTTTTCTGGTTCTCTGGTTTCTTGGTTTTAAATTTTTTTGGTGAATTACTTTAATGTAGCAAAGTATCAACTGGTTTTTCTTGCTCTTATATGGTGTTATGATTCTTTTGAAGATGGATGAAGTGCGATTCCTCTGTTGCCAATGCATCTACGAATTGAGCAAAATGAAATGGACTTTGGGAATGCTTTGATAATATATATTTAGTTATTTGTACCACTTGATTCTATGTTCAAATGATGCGCAATATTAATTGGTGTTCTTTATTTCTTCTGCTTTTGCTAGGGAGAAATCTGCATTGTGGGGAATGGAAGAATCAATAGAAGTTGAAGACTCAGAATTTGTGTGGGGTAAAAAGAGAGGAATTGGTGGAAAAAAGAAAGATGTTCAATTCTATGAATCCTTCACTTATGATGGTGAAGAATACCGTCTTTATGACTGTGTCTTAGCCTGTAAGGAAGGTGAACCTGAGCCCTTTGTTGGCAAAATCATCAAAATTTGGGAACATCCGCGGATGGAAAATGGAAGGCGAGTCAAGTTGCTCTGGTTCTTTAAACCTTCTGAGATTTCGTCGTATCTTGAAGGAGTTTTAGATATACTTCCAAACGAACTGTTTCTGGCTTCAGGTAAAGGTGACGGCCTCACAGATGTTAACCCATTGGTAAGTGAAGTTATCTCCTGTCTGTTATTCTGAAATTTCACTCCCTACATTACTCATTGAGCATTGGACTTTTATTGATCACACATCTCATTTCATGCTGAGGATAGAATTCTATCATTTCTTAATTTTCGCTTGTTGAGTTTAGTCCTTACAGTTTATAGCTGTTCTTTGCTCAACGATATCCATCCTTAGACGAGCCTTGCCCATTTCTTTGACATCCTAATTGACACACAGTCAGACCCCAAAAGATGTAGCTCAAGATAACACAGGGTTGTACACCTTGACTGAAAGTTAGGAAATCGTGCTACTTTCTCCTCTCTAGATTGCTGGTAGTAGAAGAAAAATATGTCAATTGTATACTTTTGGTTTGTCCCGATCTTTGCTCTAGGTGTCAGACTAAAAAGATAGACAAATTCATTTTTGTATTACATTTTCAATTGGAATAGGGACATAACATCACAGATAATTTGATGTGAGAAACTAACAAGTAAGCTACATGTGCATGTATACTGATAAAGCATTATTCTACCAGGAAGCGATTGGTGGAAAATGCTCTGTCCTGTGCATCTCGAAGGACAAAAGAAATCCACAACCTTCGGACGAAGAAATCAAGAATGCACACTTTGTCTTTCGCCGAACATTTGATGTTTTAAGGTGCAAGGTTTTGGACCAGATAGATGACAAAATTGCTGAAATTGACGGTGAATTCCTTTTCGTCTGATTTGCATCTTTTGACTTCTCATTCTGTAATTGTTCATTGTAGGGATTCTTGAAATACCTTATATCTTCTTTTCTCTCTAATTGTTGCAGTTAAATTTATCTTTAACAGAACCAGTGAGAACAAATCAAGCGCTGCAGAGAAAGTTGTAGCAGACATAACCGTAAGTCCAGATAGTGTGAAACCGGAGTGTCCATCAACTAGTGCTTTAGTGAGGCTTAACCAACTGGGGTCTAGTGAATCTCCCAGCTGTGGGGAAAATGGTCTAAGTGGCAAGAAAGCAAAAGAACATGAAGGTCACAAGCAGATGGCTAGAAAAAAATCTATACATGCAGTAGAAGTGTCTACCAAGGATTCTGTTGGACGGGATGTCGAGGGTCATACTGACTGTGATTCTTCTGAAGCATCTGTCTCTCGGAGAGATCATTGGGATGGCAAGAAAGCTGAAGAAAGTAAAGTTAGAAAACATTTGACGAAACAAAAATCTGTGGTTGAAGAAAAAGAGTCTACCAAAGATTCTGGTGAACGGGATGGCAGGTCTCATAGTGAACGTGGTTCTTCTGGAGTATCTGGTTCACCAAGGAGTCATTGGGATGGCAAGAAAGTTCAGGAATGTAAAACTCAGAAACGACTTAGTAAACAAAAATCTATGGTCGGAGAAGAAAGGTATAGTAAAGATCCTGATGGGTTGGGTCAGAGGCCTCATAAGAAACAGAAGCTAGATGGCTCTGGTGCAGTATCTGGTGGCAGAAGTATAGAAATTCTACAAAAAATAAGTTCCAATGGTGCAAAGGATATAAAATCTGTTAGTAGTCACAGAGACATTGTCACAAAAAGGGAGGTACTTTCCCAGAGACCCAGCTTTGTTGACAAGAAGCAAGGTCTGCAGGTAACAAGTGGTTATGATGGAAAAGTCACAAAAACTGTTGCTCCTGTTGTCAGGCCTATAGATAAAGCTCCAATAGGAAAAAGTCTTTCTAAGAAACTGAGCTCTGATGAACAACTATCAAAACGCACTGAGGGCAAGATTTTGACAGAAGATGACTACAAAAGAAATCATCAAGTGATTGAAGTGACCCGGAGACCTGATGCTGTAAGTTGTAAATTTAATATCCGGATCATGTTAGCTGTTTTAACTGACATGGTTTGGGAACTGGCAATTGCTTTATGAGGTTTTAGTGGCAGTAGTGTTGTAAAACTTACTCATGGCTGTTCTGTTAAGCAGTCCTTTCCTGTGTCTGCCATAGTTGTTTTTTCTTGTATTCGGGTGCTGTATTGATATTCCATCATATTCGTCTCTCTAAAATTTCCCTTAGTTCTTGTGGATATGAAGGTCGGCTCTTACAAATTCCTGTTTCTTTTTCCTTGATTACAGGAAAGACGCAAATGGTTCAGAGATCTTGTGAGTATTTCTTCCTTTCTTTGCATGTCAGTATTATGCTTAGGTGTTTTCTGTTACCTCCATTATCATGCTCAACATGCTTCTTCCTCGATGTAAATCGTGCTACCTGATAATTCTAGTCTTCTAAGATCCACCACCTTTTTGCTTTACTTTTGTTTCTCTAAATGTGCTAACTTCTCGATCACAAGCTTGTCAGAAGGCAGCATTTTCTTGATCATTTTACCCTCTCTAGGAGTGAGCTCACCTTGTTTCTTTGATACCTGTGCGTTTTTGGCTCTGTATGCAAACATTTCTAGTCTGGGCGGTTATTTTATGTGCTTAGTATCTGGAATTGCTTTGTGGGATTTATGTATCAATTGACCTTTAAGCTAAACCATGATCAGGCATGGGAAGAAAGAATGAGGGGTGCGGAAGAGCATGGAACATTGGTTCTTCTTCAAAACTTGGATCCTACTTATACGTCTGATGAAGTGGAGGTATTAGGCAATTCAGACAGTATTTTTTTTTTTGAGCCTTTTATTACTTTTATATATTGCTTAATCGACTGTAACATTTGATATTCAGGCCCTGTGGTGTAGTTTTTTTATTGTGCTCTTCTCATGTAAACTTCAGTTATTCCCACTTACATATATAAAATGGTGAATTTTATTTCAGGATATAGTATATTCTGCTTTGAAGGAACAGTGCACTGCGAGGATGATAGCACGGACATCAATTAGTATTCCTCATATTGGTAAGTCTATCATTTTACAAGCATCAAATGGGTTATGCTTTAAAAGGCTTTGCACTTCTTTGGATTTTCGAGGGCAGTCCATAACATGAGATATTAGGAAGTCTCTGCCCTTGTGATTATTTCATCTAGAAAAAAAAAAAGAGAATTATGGCATCCCACATTGATTATTATCCAGGTGAAGCTTTGCTCATATTCAAAAGGAGAGAAATAGCGGAGAAAGTGGTCCAAAGACTAAAGGACGGGTGCTTGATGCTATCAAATGGGAGGTAAGCTCTGCATTATGATTTCTGCTTTACCCAGCTCGAATGAATCGTTGTTCAACTTGTAAGAACTTTTGCTTGTTGTGGTTTCCGTCCTATCTATTGGCATTCATCTCATCTGCTTGAAGAAGTGATATTAGCGTCAAGGGTAACACGGATATGAGATATGAGTTTCGAAAGAAGCTTTTACGAAGTTCCTGTATCATCATTATACTCATAATCTCCTTGGAACTTATTTGTTAATAACATAATAAGTAGCCTTTGCCGAACAAGGGATTTACTCTATTTGTAACTTCCGAAGGTTTTAATCATTATGGCAGAAAGTTGTAAGTGTATATGTATGATGTATTGTAAGACTTTCTTTTCCGCTTTACAGGCCCCTTGTTGCTACCTTTGCTAAGCTTGCTCCTCCCGGGAAACCCTCGTCATTCTTCGGCCATTTCAAAGTCAAAACCCAAATGCAGCGAGATATGGTATTCCTTCTTTTTTTTTTTAAACTCGGCTCCCTATGCCACAACGCAAAGCAACCCCGTTCCTGGAGCAATGTGTTATGTTTTTTGTTTGGTCTTTGTATTTTCTTCAGAGAGATGCTGTCGCTACATCACATTGTTCTCAGCCGAACACCGTTGAGTATGATATGGCCATGGAATGGTGCTTGCACCAATCTAGATACGATGCTGCATGGGAAAAGTTATTGAAGGTATTAAATTTATTTGCTTATCATGACGATTAGATTCACATCCATTAACAAAACCTCTTCAATTCTTTTTTAGCAACAAAGGGAAGAAATTAAGAAGTTACGGGTCGATTTCAAGCATAAGACTTCCTTAGCTTCAGAAACCTCCGGTCCTTCTTCTGTAAGTATAACTCTTATCCCTTGGAGAAACACTTCTATCATCTCAAGAAATAATTCTGCTGTTTTTTTTCCCCTTGCTCCAAACAGAATCTCAAGGTGGCAGTCACAGATCGTACATGAGAGCTCCGCTCTTTGGATCTTTCCCTTGGCCTCTTAGACAGCAAACGGCTTTTGTACTCTGGAGATGTCATGCTTGGGAACATGATTTTGTGTCCGACCCACCAATTTTTGAACGGTAAACTCCTCTTTCCCACATGATTAAACCGAGAAATCGCTGACGCTTGGGCCTTTTGCGTCTTTTGTGTGTTTAGGGACATAAGATGAACTTCTGGTCTCAAGCCCCGTGATCCTTTCACATCAATCTGTGAAGGATCATTTTTTTTAGTGAACATCACTTGCAATATCAGTAAGTGTTGTTTACCGGATGGTTTCGCGATGCGTAAATCTCATATTCTTTTGTCTAGTAGACATAGATTTCATCTGTTTTCAAGCATTTTGCTCAATGGAAGGAAGCCCTTCACAAGTTTATGGTGCTTCATTTGGTCGGTCAATCCTCTCAGGTTAATACTATTATCTTCTATGCAGGTTTAAGTCATTAAGCACTTGGTTTCACTAGGGATGTCTATTTTGGTTATAAACCGAATAAGATATAACCGTATTCGAACAGAACCTGACATCAAAACTGAACGGCTATGATTTTCTTATATCCAAAAAAACCGAAATTGAATCGAATAAAAAAATAATTGAAAAAATCGACAATTTCTTTTGAAAAAATGAATTTTTTTATCAAAATCGAACCGAATCTGAATCGAAAAAATAATCGAATCGAAGTTTATATAAAAACCTAATGGTTATAGTTTTTGTATAATCGTAGAATTCGAATATAACCGAACCGAATTCGAACCGAAATCCGAAATAGTCACCTCTAGGTCACTTGGTTTAGTCTCTCTCTCTCTCTCGTAATATTTTGGTCCAAATCTCAATCCAACAAAACTAGTTCACGGTTAAGGCGTATTTTGTCTGTGGGATCAGAATTCCAAAGACCACGACCATATGCAATGTGCTTTTTGTTTGGTTTACAGGGCATTATTCTAATGGATATACTAAATTACAATAGTACCCTTATAGTTTTGTTTGTCTGAGTTATAGTGTGCGCTGTGCCAATTCGTACGGGACATTTATTTTGTATGTAATGGGACGTGGGTTCTACATCCATCGTTTCAGGCCCTGGTGTGCCTTATGGTCATTTCAATTTATATATATATGTATATATAAAATAAGCTTTTTATAATTGGAGAAAAAAGTTTTTCTTTTTTTTCAAAAACGACATGATTGATCCAAAACTGTACGTAGGCGTTTCAACACGTTATGTTTCCTCTGCTGAAGAAACGACGACGTATGTGCTTTGAGATTTGTGACCGTTAGCTTTTAAAATGCGCGTGTGCGCATATAAACAAAGCGAGAAGGACACTATGTAATCCGACTAAGCGAGTACGTGCAATCTCCTACTCGCGGCGCGTGGTGCCTCTCCTCACACCCCATCTCCCTCCCTCTGCTCTCTTGTCAGTACTCTTTTCTTTTCATCCTCCCGAAACAGCAACCGAAAAAAAAAAAATATACATTTCTCCCTTTTCCTCTCTCTCTCTCTCTCTCTCTCTCACATTCACTCACTCACTCTGTGCGTCCATGGGGTGTGCACAGTCTAGGGTTGACAATGAAGAGGCGGTGGCCAGATGCAAGGAGCGTCGGAACGTGATGAAGGAGGCGGTGGTGGCTCGCAACGCCTTCGCCGCCGGTCACTCCGCCTACGCCATGGCGTTGAAGAACACCGGAGCTGCTCTCAGTGACTACGGCCATGGCGAATCTGATCAAACCCTAGACCTGTCCGATCACCAGCAGCCGCATCACCACCACCAGCCTGTGGATCCCGCCCCCCAGCCTCCTCCGCCTCCGCCGATCGAAACCCTCCCTCCGCCGCCGCCTCCTCTTCCTAAGTTCTCTCCTTCTCCGATCAAGCGCGCTATTAGCTTACCCACAGAGGCTGTTCGAGGTAGGAAGCTTCGAGCGGCGGATTCCATGACGATTGAGGAGGAAGGGGAAGAAGATGAGGTGGACGAAGAGGAAGGGAAGGGTAGTTCTAGAGCCGGGGTTCGGAAGGTGGAGGAGGAGGAACAGGTTTCGCCGCGGACGCCGGAGAATACTGGGAATGCCGGAAAGCGACCGGAGACGCCGGAGATGGTGACTCCGTCGCCAGCGAATAACATCGCCTGGGATTACTTCTTCATGGTGGAGAACATGCCAGGACCCAGCTTGGACGATAGGGAAATCGGAAACGGGTATGGGCATCGGAACAATGGTCTACATATGAATGTCGAAGAAGATGAGATGTCTGGTGGGTTCCATAAGATCTCCGGAAGCAATGCAGCTGAAGAAATCGAGCCGAAGACGCCGGAGAAAATGATCGAAGAAGAACACGAAGAAGAAGATGATGATGAAGAAGAAGAAGAGGAAGAGCATGTGGTGGCGGAGGCATTGAAGAATAACAAGAAAGGGAAAGCTAAGATTGAGCACTCGAACACGGCTCCTCCAGATTTCCGGAATGTGACTGTCAAATCCGTAACGTCGAACGTGAACCTGATGAAGATTCTGGATGAGATCGATGACCGATTCCTTAAGGCGTCAGAGAGTGCCCAAGAAGTGTCCAAGATGTTGGAAGCAACGAGGCTACATTATCATTCTAATTTCGCAGATAACCGAGGTATGATTGCCGTTTCTCTTTGTTTGATTGGATTTTCTGACCTGGGTTCCTTCCGAGTGAATCTTATTTTAGGGTTCGGGCCCTGAGAAATTCTAAGTCCGACATGATTCTAGTACTGTTTAGACAAATCTCTCTGGTTAAGCTTTTGCCTTGGTGTTTATGATCAGTTCTTACATGGGTTTGCTAAAAATCGAAGCTTTCATCTTCTTCTCAACCCATTTACTCCAATATCACCCCTTCTGCTGAGAAAAGTTTATTAGTACTTAGTATTGGTTGGCTTGAAAGTTAGGTGCTTTTATTAAAAAAAAGAAAAGAAAGAAGAAGAATATGAAGAGGAAAGGGAAAATTTTTTGTAGATCTCGTGAGGTTTTTAGTATATGAATATTCTCTTGAACCTTTTTGTATGTGGAATTGTAGGTTTGTCTAATGTTATAGAACTTTTGCTGAGAATCTAAAATGAACCTTATAGATCTTGCGGTTTCCTCCATTACTTTTTCCTCCAAAAGCCACTAAAACAAAGTTAATGTCTCTGTCTTCCTTCCTTTTTTTGATTCTTTCTGTCGGTTTTGGTGAGAATTTGGAGCTGATGAGTATTGAATTATGGATGCTTAAGCAGGCTTTGCTGCTATCATGATGTCATTATCTTACCAAATGGATCAGAATGCTTTTGGAACTGTTCTTCCTTGGCCATGTTCTTTTGCTAAATACTGCTATAATGGGTATTTTACTTTGTCATGTGCTTCTTGAACAATCTCTGTTTACTTTCTGATCAAATGCTGTCTGATTTTTCCCTTTCAGGATATGTCGATCATTCCGCAAGGGTAATGCGGGTTATAACTTGGAATAAATCGTTAAGAGGTATTTCCAATGGTGAAAGCGGAAAAGATGACCCCGAGTCTGATGAGTATGAAACTCATGCCACTGTTTTGGACAAGTTATTAGCTTGGGAGAAGAAACTCTATGACGAAGTCAAGGTAAATGTCATAAGCCAATATAAGTGATCTTTTTCCGCACCAAAAAAAAAAGTAACACGATGAGTTCTCACTTTGAAAGTTTTTTTTTTGTGCTGCGGTATTTTCGTTTTTTCACGTTCCATAGCAAGGTGAGCTTATGAAGTTAGAGTATCAGAAGAAGGTTTCTTTACTGAATAGGCAGAAGAAACGAGGGGCTAGTGCAGAAACCTTAGAGAAAACTAAGGCGGCCGTGAGCCATCTGCACACAAGATACATTGTCGACATGCAGTCCATGGATTCAACCGTCTCGGAAGTGAACCGTTTAAGGGATGAACAGTTGTACCCGAAACTCGTTTCCCTCGTCCAAGGGTAAGTTCTCATTCAAGAATGGATCTTGCATAATCCCGGAACGTATTTTGGATAACATGATACTCTGAACATGGTATCTGCAGGATGGCAAAGATGTGGGGAAACATGTGCATACACCATGATACCCAGTTAAAGATAGTTGGAGACCTCAAACCCCTAGAAATCTGCGGCTCTCTGAAAGAAACCACCAAACACCACCACGAGCGGACCCGTCAATTCGGAAACATCGTGGAAGAATGGCATGTCCAATTCGAGAGGCTTGTTATGCATCAGAAACAGTACATCAACGCTCTCAACAGCTGGTTGAAGCTCAACCTCATTCCCATCGAGAGCAGCCTAAAAGAGAAGGTCTCTTCCCCTCCCCGACCTCAGCGGCCACCGATCCAAGCCCTTCTTCACACATGGCATGATTGGCTCGAGAAACTCCCCGACGAGGTCGCCAAGTCAGCGATCTCGTCCTTCGCGGCCGTGATCAAAACCATTTTGCTTCATCAGGAAGAAGAGATGAAACTGAAGGAGAGATGCGAGGAGACCCGGAAGGAGTTTCTTAAAAAGAACCAAGCTTTCGAGGAATGGTACCAGAAACACTTGCAGAAAAGAGGACCCGACGAAGCAGAAGGCGGAGAAGATGGAGCAAGCGTGACGAACCCCAAAGACCCTGTCTCAGAGAGAAGGTTTGCAGTGGAGACACTGAGAAAGAGGCTCGAAGACGAAGTGGAAGCGTACCAGAGACACTGTGTTCAGGTGAGGGAGAAATCTCTGAACAGCTTAAAGATCAGATTGCCGGAGCTGTTTCGGGCGCTGTCCGACTATGCTCATGCCTGCGCTGATGCATACGAGAAGCTTAGGATCATAACGCAGAAGGAGAAATCACATGCTGCAGCCGCTGCATCTTCTTGAACTGGTTTTGTTTTTTTTTTTTTTTTTTTTTTGGGGCACGGAGATGGAGTTGTTCTTGTGCTTGTGCTTTTGTCGTTGTATTATTATCTAGTGCCATGACCATGATCACTGCTCAACTCTTTTCAATGGTAGTTTTTAGGCTTGTATTATCCTTTTAACTTGAAGACTGCGTGGCGTTGTATAAGCGAAAAACGTCATGGCATCCGTAAAGAACGTCGCCCATTTTTCCCTCCGTTTGGGCTATAAATTATTAAAAGGATCCATCTTCAATGGCTGGCCCATAATATGAAAAGGCCGATCTTTTGTGGGCCATATGAAAAGTGCATCAGGTGGTCCGGAGAATAACAATACACGCGCGCGCGATGAAATCATCTTTTGGGTAGGATTCTAAAATATCTGAAGTCTTTCCCTTTCCTTTTTTTACCGTCAACCACAAAATTTATGTGAAATGAAATCAAGCTGTGTTTTGTTTTTTCTTTTTTTGCCAGTAACCACAAATTTTATTTACACTTGAGTGAAGTTGCATATATCAGAATTTAAGAGAGATTCTAACCACGGCATTAAAATACAATTAGTATTTTAATATCAGCCTAAATGTATTCTGGGCATGGTTATGTCCATGATCTTTCATCAGGAAAACGAGACGATCCCACGACATTATACCTTTTCTAGATGATTCTTTGCGAGTTATAGCCAGCAGAGGACAAGAGGGAAAAAAACATACAGTAAACCAAACGGCTCAATAATAGCGATATGCCAAAAAGCTCGTACCTCCTTTTTAGCGTTCAATAATGTTGCAATACAAAACAGCACGGTTTGTCGCAGAAGATGCCCGTTCGCGTGAGCCTCTGCTCAAAGTAGAGGATTAGGTGTGAAATCCATGGAATAATACGGTCAATATCGAAACGACTGTTTTACATTGTGAAGTTTAAGTAGCAATCATATACTAGTAAGAGGACAAAACAAGCAGTAACCGATCGAGATTTCTGTCTGGGGGTCAGTTGAGTGTGGATTTGGAATGTTCTTATCAAACTAATGGGACTATAGACGTGGGTTCTAATGGATAATTGTGTACTGTAAAAGCGAAGAAAGAGACGGAAACTGTACAAGTTACCGAGAGTGTTGCGAATTACCGCAGTTAATCTCGGCTGCTTAGCATGTCAAGAATAGTGTAGGCGGCTTTCTGGAACTGTTCTTTCTCATCTTCAAGGACTCGTTTCTTCTCCACAGCATACTCCTTGGATTTCTCAATTTCTTCCTTTATTCCAATAGAATTTTGATCGATTTCACTGCAGGTTTTTGTCAAGCAAGAAACACTTGTATGAAGATGCCACGATGACTGCGGGGGGTAAAACAAACAGGAGCAGGCATAAAACTGTTCAAAACGAACAACATTCATCATCTGAAACCGAGCTACTATGGTGGATTCGCCGAAGCTGTGATGTACTGAGGGTGAACTTACTTGACCATCTTGAGCATGTTCTCCATTGCCATCTGAACTTGCTGTGACATTTCTGCGCTTGTAATTTGTCAACATATCAGCGCTATTTTATAAAATAAAAATAAAATAAAAAAAAGGTCCGTTGTGGCAGAACAAATCCGGAATTCTCTCACAAACTCTGTTAAAATAAAAGAAGTAGGGCATGCTACAATATCATGGATCTGCAATGTATTATCAAGTCCGTAATCCTCGAAGCGCTAAATGATTAATTTCAAGCAACTTCTTCTCTCTGTTGTGCAAGAGAATAGCCTTCAAACGGATTACAAAAATGTAGCAACGATCAAGATTCAAGAACGCAGAATCTGATCTATGTTGCTGGACTTCTAAATCCTATATATCGAGATGCAACCGACGAAAGTGTTTCTAAGTTACACAAACTGCGATAATTTCCATATTCCAGTCGAAATAATTTGAGCCATCTAACTTTTCAAAATTAGCATACAGTGGAAATTTCAATCTAACAATCCATCGCAAGGTTGAGCATGGGGATCATCGCTAACTCATTAGTCGAAACAAACATCTTCCGCTTCACCGACTTGGAGTAAAAACCCAAGGCCTTTGTAAAATCGATTACCAGACTTCGTTTTTCTCGAGCAGATCGCAACTCCAAACGAAAACAAGAGTTCAGAACCGTTGCAAAGAACCCGGAGATCGCGATCACACCAATCAAATGAACGGATATAATACGCATACTCTCGAGAGGAGAAAGCAACAAACCGTATACGAGAGACGACAGATCCGATTCAGCCTCCTGCTCCTGAAGATGATGAACAGTAAGATGATCACCAATCGGTGACGGCGAACCGGTCATTGCTCCTTGAGAGAGAAAGAGAGAGAGAGAGAGAGATTGTATTTGCGAGGGAAAATTTATTGGTCTCTCAGATTTCTATTTTCAAATTCTTAGAAGACGATTAATAATAAAAATTGTTTGGGCCCAGCAAGTACGGCTTGGGCTCATAGTCATACAAAAATCTCTTAACCCACAACATATATGAACTCGCTACATTCCATTCGACCGTATTCACTTCTATAATATAATTCGGTTAGAAATTTATCTATTATTTCATAAATTCGTAACTGACAGCAGATCATGTGAGTCGTATATTCCCTACGTCGTACTCAACCACTGCCTCGTATTAATTATTATAACAGCACGAAAAGGCATAATCAGCCCTTAAGTGAAAATAAATAAATAACATTACCATTAAATAATTCGAAATGATCCGACACACCAACAGCGTATCTTCCGTAAAATCTAACCAAGTCTAGGTTTTTAAAATGTTATCACGATTAAATAATCATACTTCTCCTATCAAATACAAAAAAAAAACATGGGAATTTTTCGGGATGCGTAAAGATTTTGAAAATTCCTATTTATAATGTAAAAGTTACTAATATTTAGAGAGGTCGACCAAAGCGCACCGTATCAAAGTTGACACGTGCGTACGTATAGATGAATCTCAACCGTCGATTCAGCGTCTGTTTCGTTTAGAATCTTCGAATATTCGCCGTTCGATCTTACACGGACACTAGTCAAGCTTGGACACGTGTCTATCTAAGGAGGTTCAGACCGAATAATGAGGGAAAAAGAGAAAGGGCAAAGCTGAGTCAGCAAAAAACGACAAAAAAAAGTGATAGAGGTAAAGAATTATGCTATTCAGATTTTTTAACCATTGGTTCACTGATCAGGTTACTGACCCAGTCCACGTGGCATATATAAGGACAACAGCCGTTAAATTGGTCCGTTGCCCACTTCCCAGCGGACCGGACCGTCAACGAAAAAAAAAACGGAATTTATCGATTTATTTAAAGACGTAATTTGGCACTAAACAAGTGTTTTTATAATTTATCTCATTTATTGTATTTTCTTTGTTACGATTCAGTATGAAAACTTGGTCTACAGCATGGGCGGATCTACTTGCACATAAGTGGGGGCACATGCCCCCATTCACATTTTTAAAAAAAGAAATATTACTTATAGTTTTAATTAAATTATAACAATGCCCCCAGTAAAAATTAAGTGGTGCCCCCTCATTTTTTTAACCCTAAATCTTTTTTTTTCAATTTTTTTTCTACCAATTTTACATTCTCCTTCATTTTTTTATATTCTTTACCAACTCCAAATTAATTCTGTTTAATCTTTTATCAAATAAAAAAATAAAAATCCAATAATAATCAAATCCAAAAAACTAAAACCAACAAAAATATGTAAGTATTCTGGATTTTATTTTAAATATTTTTTTTATCTTTTATTCATTTATTTCTAAATATCTATCATATTAATAAATTTGTTTTTATACAAATCTCATAATTGATTTAACAGAGAAATCTATTGAGAAATTTCTCAAAAAAATTTACAGTGTCCAAAATTTAATGATCTATTTAACGGAATAAATTCAAAATTGCTCATTTATATGACAGTTTTTAGTCATGTTAAAATAACTTTGCGTAATCGGATTGGTGATCAGCCTTTGAGTGATTTTCTAATTTGTTTTATTGAAAAAAATATGTTTGAGATAATTATAAATGAAGTTGTTAGGGATAGATTTAAAAAAATGAAAGATCGGAGAATTTAGCTATATAATGAAAAATATTTTTCTGATAATATATTTTTATTAGTTTTTTATATTTTATATCATATTTATATTTGTTGCCCCCGTTGAAAAAAATTTCTGGATCCGCCACTGGTCTACAGTTCAAATTTAAAATCCGGCAGAGATGAAATGCTCCTACAACTTTTATATATTAGTTTTTTCTTTTTTAAACGATATGTTATTAATCTTCTTCTTTTTAATATAAATATCATTTCAAGAATTCGCGGAGAGAATAATGAATATTAACAATTAGTTTACCAAACAATATTAATAATTAATTGTGGCGGAGAATCTTTGACACATAAAATTTTACTAAAACATTATACTGATTATAATATTCATAATTTTGATAGTTTGTTCTTCCAAATGAATAATTTCATTATTAAATTATCTACTATTTCATAAAAATGGTTAGGTCAACAACAAAATCTTAATGGATCTAATTTTGTTTTAAACTATGAGCAAATCATTTATATAAATAGAAGTTGGGCTAATTTATAATATATAGTTAATCAAAATCTGCTAAACATTAAGAATTAGGAACGAGGGTTAAAAACTTTAAGTATTTTTAAAATAATTAACAAATTTATTTAAAAATCCTATTCATAAATATTATTTAACACGGGGGGGGGAGTCTGGACCGGGGGTTGGTCAACTTGCTTGGCTTCTCGTTATGTCAGCTAACGCTTGATAACTGTATCTCTTTTTTTTTTCAAGCCAATTGTGTTTTTTTTTTATGTAATGCTGTTTATAACGCCGTTTGTCTCTGGGCCTGAGGCCGTCACCGTTTGTTAGCCTCTTTAGAAGCACATACCACGTCACCTTTTTTGTCGTTTTATGATACCAAAGAAAAAAAAATTGTATATTTTATTTTATTTTAATGAGGCCTTTCTGGGAGACTCGTACTTGCCACTAAATTCCTAATTTATTTTTTTTTGTCCACTTAATTAAATAGCTATAAAACATTTACTGCGGAGTGGCAATATCTACTGTTCTAATTACTATGTATGATTAATTTCTATAGAAGTTGGTTTTGTATAATGGAAATTTAGCAACCATAATCTTATACTAAAAAATTTTTGTTTACTATATCACTAGTTTTTTCTGCATTCAACGTACGATTAATTTATACTCGGTATTTAAATTAGATAATTCAGTTGGAAAACCCTAAAAAATCATTAAAATTTTAAAATATTGGATTAAATTTTAAATATCTATTATATACTAAAATTAGTCGAAAAATATCTTCTGTGTATTAATGACAGTATTCTTAATTTGTAACTTATATAGAAAGACCTCATGCAGGGCCACTTTGGGTGGGAAAAAATGGGAAAATAAAACTAGAAAGGACAAAACATAATTGTTTGGTTTGGATTCCGTCATTTGGAATTAAACCAAGTGTCATTATTCAATGGTGCTTCCTTTATAGATTCTGATGTTGACATAAGTGGAAGTTTCCAAAGAATAAAAAATTAAATGATAAATTAAAAAATATATAAATTAAGAAAACAGATATTTATACGGTTTAATTGAGATTTAAAAGGTAACTTCGTTATACAAATATGGGAGAAAATGACGGATGGCAAAAAGTAAAGCGCAAAAGGAAAATTACATGAAAAAAACCAAAAAAAACATTATAATTAACAATTAATACTTTCATTTAGATTCAACAAAAAAAAATACTTTCATTTAGATTAAAAAAAAAGGGAGCTGAGGTGTATAGAACCATATATTTTATTGCATATTATGGGGGAAAAAGAAACAAGGAAAAGACCGGCTTGGTTTAACGTTTTGGTTTTCAGAATTTTTACAGTTACCTTATTGTTCAATATTTTCAAACAAGTCCAACATTTTACTTTAAATACAAATTTGGAAATCATATTACTTTCTCAAATTACAATTTTTAATACATATTTTTAAAATAAACTAATTTCTTATATAAATGTAAGGTGATTTTATTTTTTTTTTAAATTTGAATATGATATTATAAAATTTTAAAATTTACTAATACATGAAATTTTATTCGCATTTTTTATAAATTATAAAATAAGTAAATTATTAATATATAAAAATATTTATGTTACAAATTATTATGAAAATCTATTTAAATATATTTAATCACCTTAAAGAATTATTTGAAAAAATTAGAAAAGTAAATATTAAAATTGAAATTATCGAGATAATTATAAAAATAATTAATTGATATGAATATTTGTTATAAATAAGAAAAAATAATATCGAGTTTAGTTATTTTTATTTCCAAATCTGAGTTTAAAAAACGCGGGAGTAGGCGATACCGTACGATTTACGCTAAATCTCAAATTTTAGCGCGAATTATAAACGAACAATAAAAGAAAGTTTTTGCTTTGAATAAAATGAATACGGTAAATTCTCTTTAACTAAAAAAATTGGCTATATGAAAATCGAGTGGAACATTATGACCAAATTTATAACCGTATACATGGCATAGCAAAAGAAGTATTAATATCGAACGACCGGTTTAGCCCGGTACTTGAAAACCGAGTGGGTTTAAATGGTCACATACAGAAAGTTGGTGGACTAATAGGAAAATAAAATATAAAAAAAGCTAACATTTTTTTTTATATTTCCCTATATATACCGCAGTACGGACACTTCTGAGAGAGTGCCATCGTCAAGCGTGAATTCTAGAGAGAGAGAGAGAGGGAGGAAGAGGTGTTTGAGAAGCTTGGTGCGCTGATTTTGAGGGGAGAGCGAGGAGTGCCTCGCAAGGCTTGCACAGTGACAGACGACGGCTTGCATTGTGCTATTTCTCTGCCATTTCTGGGTTCTTCTTCTTCTTCAAGAGCTCGTGAAAATTTTCAGAGGAAAAGAAGAGGAAGGCAACGAGGTAACTTTTCCTGTTGAAAATTTTTCGTCTCCTGTTTGAATTTGACGTCCTGGGTTCCTCTCGATGGCACAGTTCCGTGAGAAATTCTCTAGATTGTGCAGCGTCTTCTTTATGGCTTGTCACTGTTTATGTTTATTCTAAGCTAAGGAATCTGTTCCGATGTTTAACTCTCGATGATCGTTTCTTCTCTACATAATCAAATACTCTTTGTACATATACATATACATATATATATATGTATATATATATAATATCCTCATGTTCTATATGGATAATTCCTTTGCTTTGAGAATTGCTTTGAACTCCCTTTTGGAATTTCTCATCTGGGCGCTTGTTCTTTCGAGGGCCTTGTTTGCTTGTGATTTCAGACTCCGTTTCGTTGGCTCGTTTCATTCTTTTTCACTTTCCCGTGTGTTCTGTATAAGATATCGACGAGCATAAACTTTCTGCCATTGCGGTTCACTCGAACGATCAATCTCTAGTTGATAAACCATTTCCCTGAAGCCCTTTGGCCCTTCAATCGGTTAGAAAATTCCTTGGTTTTCGTGTACGATGATCCGTATGATACCCTGTAATGTTTTTTCCTCTGATCTCTCAATGCACATTCACAAACTAAGTTATGCGTTCATACATGTTAGTGCCCGTGTGTGAAATTCAAATCGAGTTAGATATTGTCCGTTTGATCGATGCTGCACTTGGATTGGTGATTCTCATGGGTATCGGCATCTTTTCACTGATTCAGACATGTTCCCGGTCATTGGATCGATAATTCAGCTCATATTTTTTGTTTTATTTTGACCCAGACAATGCTGAGGAAGAGGAGCAGGTCCAATCAGAAACATCAAATGGTGTCTGCTTCGGAATCTTTTCCGGTACAATCTGAGGTCTCAAGGGTTAAGAACCACAGGAAAGGCTCATTTTTCAGCATCCCGAGCCTGTTCGTGGGTCTAAGCAACAAGGGTACATCCGACAATGATCCAGCTTGGAGCCCTAATTCCCCTTTGGATTTCAGGTTGTTTTCGGGTTTCGGGGCCCCATTTGCTGGATCCTCAAAGGCAGCCCACCATGTGCATCAAAAGAGTTGGGATTCTGGGAAAGTAGGTTTGAGTATTGTGGATTCTCTCGAGGATCGCACCGATGAATCGGGGAAGGTTCTTCGATCATCTGAGAGTAAGAACATCCTTTTCGCCCCTGGAATGCGGTTTGGTTACCCCATTTGCCCGAAAGGTGTTGAAAAGGCTCATGAACAGAAGAATCCTTGTCCGAAAGATTACCCTGTTTTCCCTAAAACCCTTGCCAAGACTCCAACCAAAGATGATGAGCTTGGTTCTGTATTTGAGACCAAAGACAATCCGATCAAGCAGGACCCTGTTTGCTCGCTGAGTTCTTACGGTGCAAAGGGCTCTTCTTCTGGAAACTCTGAGGTGGGGAAGGATACTTACCAAGCCATTGCCTCTAAACCTGATATCCTTCCACACCTTCCGAGTTTGGACGGCTCTCCTCTGAAGCAAAGCTTGGAATCTCTTAGTGGGTGTATGGACCCGAATTCGGAAAGTGAGATTGAGCTCTCGGAGGCTTATACTTGTATCATTTCTCATGGTCCTAACCCCAAAACCACTCATTTTTACGGGGATCGTGTTTTGGAAAATTGGGATACTAATGCTTTGAACGAAGGTTTTCGCTACAAGGAGCAAAAGGGTTTCGCAGTTGTTTCAATGCCTTTCACGAAACTAGCTGATGTTGTCCCACCCGAAACATTCTTGAGCTTCTGCACCTCCTGTAGCAAGGGCTTGCAGGGAAAAGCCATATACATGTACAGGTACTCATATCTCTCAACCTAGTACACTTTAGAGCCTCGTGCATGATATGTCTACCAACGGTTAGAGAGCATAGTTGCCATTGTATGAACCCTTTTCAGTAGTATAGATTCAACACTAACACTGTAGCTAAATTCCTGAATGCGAAGTACGTAGTCACGAAATCACGGTTCGTTGCTATCAATGAATCGATATGTTAAGTAATAAAAAGAAGAAACCTTGCTTCAGGAGCAAATGGATAAAGAAATGCTAAGTACCCGAATAGCAAAACCTTAAAAGTTTGATTCTTTCCGGATTTTGTGTAACGTTCATGGCAATCAACATTACTTCTTTCAGTTTCAACGAAAACATACAGCCAGTATAAACATGTTCTTTACTAACTTTCAAGCGATGGAATGGAAACCGATGACGTTTTCTTGGTCGGGATATGAAACTATTGCAGAGGTTGCATAGCTTTTTGCAGCGAGGAGTGTCGTTCAAAGGAGATTCTTGCGGATGAGAGAATGGATGAAGCAGCAGTAGCAGCAAAGTCTGTCGTTTCAGACAACGGCTGTAAGGACCTGTCTGGAAAGGGGAAGAAGTAGAAGAAACAGAAGCAGGAGAATGATAATGGCGATGCGATCCTTGAAGTGGGTTCGACGAGCCTTTTGGTTTCAAATTTTTTTTCCCGCCACCTTTTTTTTTTCCCAGACCATTCTCCATGATCATAGGAGCTCAATTCGAAGGTGGAAGCTTTTGACTGCTGAGGTCATCCGTTCATGAAAAAGAGCTGCTGTTTCTTTTTGTGTTTCTTGAGTTGGCGGCCATGGATGATCCTTTTGTTTTTTTTCCTGAAGAAGACAAACCGTTTTTCTTTTCATATGTTCATATGGGTCTTTTGGTTGGTCATTCTGATTTCGAACTTCAAAAAAATGGAAAACATTCCCTTAAATATATTATTTAATATGCTTTTTTCTTATGTTAAATTTAAGATCTTTGTGGTGATTTTTATTTGGATGATTTTTTTCCCCACCTCTGATTTTTTTTTAAAAGTTGGGGTGAACATTCAGGATAGTTTACTTATTATCATATTCCGAATTAGGGATGGGCACGGTTGACCACCGCGTTTTTTTTTGGATAAAAAAAATGGTATTATCTTACAACATTCGGATACTCGTTAGATGGATATCCGCGATTAAATTAAAGGTATCCAGAAATATCCATATCTGTGTATATAATATTTAGGGGTAATTTTATATAAATATCTGAACTTTTATAAATTCCCAAATAAATACCTAAACTATAAAACTTTCAAATCAATATATGAACTTTTCAAAATTTTTATATAAATACCAAACTTTTAAAAAACTTCCAAATACAAAATTTTCGTTGACAGCGTTAATCGGCAGAGTCATCGAATTCCGTTATAAATTAAACGGCTTTAATGGATTTTGGTTGTATTTGGAAGTTTTTTAAAAGTTTTGGTATTTATATGGAAGTTTTGAAAAGTTCAGGTATTGATTTGAGAATTTTATAGTTCAAATACTTATTTATGAATTTTGTAAAAGTTCAGGTATTTATATGCGATTATCCCTAATATTTATCAATTTAAAATTAAACAAATATCCAAAAAAATTATATATATTTTGATTTAAAAATAGATTTAAAGTTTGAAATTATTAAAATATTAAAATATACATAAATTTCTAGAGTTTTATTTTATTTATATATACGGGTACCCAGTGGTGTCCGTTTTCTAAATCTTTGAATCCCGATCCGAACTTATCATAAGGATTTTCTATATTTTAGTACTCGTTTTTCGAGTACCCGTAAAACCGGGTATCCGCAAATCCGCCAATAACGGATTTAAATGTCCAGCCCTATTCCGAATTTGAATGGTTTGTAATTTGCTGTTTTCATATTCCAAATATTCGGTTATTCATAAATAAGTGGAGGAGCGAAAAGAGAGGGTGAAGAAGATGATGGAGAGACAGAGATGGAGGAAGACACCAAGAAGTGGAGAGTATAAGGTATTGAGAAGAATGTATGAACGACTGTATTGTATTATTGGAGGAGAAGGAATATATAGATATATGTACAAGCTCTTAACCCTAGTGTATAAGGCAAGAAACAAATAAGGGAAGTATAAATTACAATAATATGTATATCTTTCTAAACGCCCTCGCAAGATGGGTCACCGTCAGTGAGGCCAATCTTGGAGCATAATGTGGTGAACAATGGTTGTGGTAATGGCTTCGTAAGAAAGTCTGCAAGTTGGTCATTTGCACTGACGTGAGCAACGCGTAGAGTGCCATTCTGAATCTGTCCACGAACGAAGAGGTAGTCTAGGGCAAGGAATTTCATTCGGAAATGGAAGACCAAGTTGGCGCTGAGGTAGGTTGCCTCCTAGATTGTCGCATTAAATAGATGATGGTTGCGACAATGCGATGCGGAGCTCGGACATTAGGTTGAGTAGCCACTGTGGTTCAGCGGAGGTGTTGGCAACAAAGCGGTACTCTGCCTCAGTGGA